AGATAATCTTGAATGGTACTAAATTAGTTACCTGATTATATAATAATTATCTCTAATTAACTTTAAGAAAATCCTTAAGGCCTGTTTGTTATGACTTTTGAGATTCAAAAGCTGTTTTTAACGCCTTTGATTAATTTTATAAAATCCCTTACACTAATTAGACGAGTTTTTAGAAGGAAAATGAAACGTTCTCGAGAAACTCTTTCACAAGAAGTAGAAATAAAATTAGAAGTTACGTCAAATGAATCCTTAACCCTTTAAAATATAATTCATAAAAATCATTGATACATTCTCTATTACTTTTTAAGACTAAACTTTAATATTGAAAAAAGAAAAGCATCGAGAATAGATGAAACAAATATTTAATTATTTATGTTTGGATTTTTAAGTTGACGTTGTTTGGATGAAAAGTAATGGAGACTAGAAAATGAAAATGTTTAAAAATCTCTAATCACAATAATTGCAATCTTTTGTATTATATTATATTATAATATGCGTAATAAACGTATGTCGCTCGCTCTCTACTTTGCACAGTAATAAAAAGTCTTGCCGTCTGTGCTTTTGCCACCTCAATTCTCTCTTTCTTCTCGACCTTTTCAAGTTGCTATTGAATCTAGCGTTCATTGTCCGTTTCAAAGAAGCGCTCTTTTCCTCTTCCGATCTTTATCTGTTACTTTTGAATAGAAAGTTATTATTCGGAGCTGTGTTTGGGTAGAATTCTTCCACTGATTCATGAATAATTAATACGTTGCTCCGGTTTTTAGCTGCTGGGCTCCAAGTGGGAGCTTTTTCTGTTCATTTTTTGGAATTAATTGATGATTGTGGATTTTTAGTCAAGAATGCTTGTTGGGTTTTAGCGTTCTTGATTAATATTCTGCTTCAGTCGATTTTCTTGATTTCGGGTTTTTTCTCGACTAAGCAAAAAGAAAGAAAATTTTTGTTGTCCTGAATTGGAAAGGGAATACTTTTTCTTATAGATCTGTTCTTTCTGATTCTGTAGTGCACATTATTGTTAGCTTTTTACGTAACATAATTAATATTTAAAATAGGAATAAAGGAGGAAATGATAAAAACATACTATTTTTTCTTTTAGTTATACTTTTTATTATTTGTTTAGGGCACTTTTAAGGATAACATTAGTTCAAAGTTAATTTCTTTTTAATTATTGTGTTCTGTTCCGTCCAAAGGGGTGAAATTCCTTGGTAGTAGATGATTTTTTTGTAAATGAAGTGGAGATTGGGTGGTTTAATTTAAAGGGTGCTTGAAAATTCATTTCTTGGGCGGATTTAATGTTATTCTTGTCATTGGAATTTCAATTGTGGAATAAAGGATGACTTACTTGATTGAATAGAGGACTTAGGTGTGTGAATATATATATATATATATATAGCTTGGAAGTATTCTTCCCTAAATTTGGCGACGGATCCAAATACGGAAAATAGGGGGGTTTCCTGTTTGGCTGGGCTGGAGTGCATAGTGGAAATAATCAGGTCCCTAATAATGGGGTCCTGCTTGTCCGGTGAGACCAGGAGTCCGCTTCCTGGTTCTCCGATGGGAGTAACGAAGGGGAAGGACTCCATAAGTAGGCAAAGGTCTCGAAATCCGTTCAATGAACAACTACGTAAGACTCCAGGCCGCATGTTCTTAAACGGTTCCAGCGAGGTTGCTTCACTCTTTACCCAGCAAGGCAAGAAAGGAACCAATCAAGATGCCATGCTTGTTTGGGAGGTTAGCTTCTTTCTTTGCATTAATGTGATCAGTTCGAATGTTATGATTAATATTGTTTCAAACTTCCAATTTTATTCAGAATCCAATGGCTTCCTAATGGTAGATAGTCTAAGACAAGTGATGTTGTAATTTCCAATTTATTGTATCTAATTAATGAGTTAAACCCTGTGGTATTACCTAATTGTTTGTTTCTTAAAATGGTATTCTCAGCTGAAAAACCATGTACTCTCGATCTTAATATGTCCTATTACTAAATAGTTGTAGTTGATCCGTTTTGGCTTGGCCTACACTTGAGCAACCTGAGTTTTTGCCGACTTAGCTGTAACTGAAGGTTCCCTGAAGTGAGATTTTCTTTTAATGTCATTGCTTTATATTTTATGTGTTTGATGTTAGAGTTGCCTTACAGGATTTCAGGGACTACATCAAATTTTGTGATTAGTAAACCCGGGATGATTATTTCTTTGAAGGAGAGAAATTATGGATAAAATAAATAACCCATTTGCCTCATCAGATTATCCTTGGTGTCTTCTGTCATTTGATTAAATCCTCTGGGGCCTAAGAAAGTGATATCTGTACTTATATAAGATGAATATTCATATGGGCACATATTGAATTTTCACATGCCGAAGATTCTTGTTGACGTTTTGTAAGATAAATGATTTGTCCTATCAAGCATTTTATTTGTCTTATTAGTCTCAAGTTGCTCGTAATATAGCCATTTACTGATTTTTGTGAAATTGGATTTCTAGAATTTTGGTTCGAGGACAGACACGGTCTTCTGTGGTATTTTTGACGGCCATGGTCCCTATGGTCATTTGGTTGCAAAGAGGGTTAGAGATTTTCTTCCTTTGAAACTGGGTGCTAACTGGGAATTTGATATAAAGAGTGATGAAGTTCGTAGGGAGGTTAGTTTGAATGGTACGGATAGTTGGTGCTCTAAAGATACCTCTTTCTTACCTCCTGAAGAGTCATCTAGAGCTTCCATTGATCTTGAAGAAACTGAAAAGCATCCAGAAGTTTTCCAGACACTGAAAGAGTCCTTCTTAAAGGCTTTCAAGCTTATGGATCGGGAACTGAGAATGTATTCAAATATTGAATGCTTCTGCAGTGGAACAACAGCAGTGACTCTAATAAAACAGGTATATTGATAAGTTCATAAGTGATACTGACATGAGTTTGCCATTGTGTTGTCTACGTACTGAAGAATGCCTTGATTTTCTTCTGTAGGGTCAGGATCTTGTAATTGGAAATGTTGGGGACTCAAGAGCTGTATTGGGTACAAGAGATGAAAATAATTCACTCGTTGCAGTCCAGTTGACTGTGGATCTCAAACCAAACCTTCCAGGTACTCTCTCTCTCTCTCTCTCTCTCTCTCTCATTGTGTAAAAGTAAAAAGTAAACTCTCTAATTGTGTTAAAAGGGTTCATGAGAAATTGGGCTCGCCAGTACTTGGTAGTTGTTAACTTGCTCTTGACCATTTTGGGCCAGAGAATTAGACTCCAATTTGTACTACTTGGTAGATGGACCAGGTCATGAGGCTTTCCCTCTGGCTGGTATCTGCTTACATTCCAATCTCTTAGAAAGAGTCTTGCCATGATACTCCAATAGTAATTAGATGCGTCCAAGTGTTACCATTTTTAGGTCTTGGGGTTGATCTAGATATTTTAATGGCATGTGCATAAACAGTCTCTGTGGAAAGCCAGAATTTTCATTTCACGAGTAAATAAATTGAGTAAATGGTCCAAACGGTCACTAAACTTTGTTAAAAGTTTTCAAGGAGTCACTGAACTTTGAAAATCACTTGAATGGTCACTGAACTTTGCAAAAGATTTTTATGGGGTCACTGAACTTTAAAAATCATCTAAATGGTCACTGTTCTTTGCAAAAGGTTGCCACGAGGTCACTGAGTTTTGCAAAAGGTTTCCCAAGGGTCACTGGAAACCTTTTAAAGTTCAGTGATCTCGTAAAAACCTTTTGCAAAGTTCAGTGACCATTTAGGTAATTTTTAAAGTGCAGTGACCTCTTGGAACCTTTTGCAAAGTTCAGTAACTATTTGGACAATTCACTCAAAACTGATTATAATTGATCAATTGGTTTTAGATACAAATATCGCTTGTTATTTGAAATCCACTTTTATTTACCTGACAGCGGAGGCTGAGAGAATCCGCAAATGTAATGGACGCGTATTTGCCCTTCGGGATGAACCTGAGGTTGCAAGAGTGTGGCTGCCAAACAATGACTCTCCTGGTCTCGCTATGGCACGTGCTTTTGGAGATTTCTGTCTGAAGGAGTTTGGTCTTATCTCTGTACCTGAAATTTCATGTAGACGCATCACTGATAAGGATGAGTTTATAATCTTGGCAACGGATGGGGTATGGTTCATTTTATTTATTTTCTAATGCTATATTTCATTTCGTTATTTTATTTTATTTTATTTTTCATTGGGCAAAGTTTTAATGTACTTGCAGATTTGGGATGTTCTCTCAAATGAAGAAGTTGTAGACATTGTGGGTTCTTGCTCCACTCGATCATATGCAGCTCGAAAACTAGTACAGTCAGCAGGCCGGGTTTGGAGGTCCAAATATCCTACTTCTAAGGTTGATGACTGTGCTGTTGTTTGCCTCTTTCTCGATTCAAATCCAAATGACTCTACTGCTCCCACCACTGAACTCGAAGAGAATATCGTGTATGAAGAGCACGCGGATACTGGATTGGACCGCTCTGGCACTGTTAGAACAAGCGAAGGGGCTGGTCGAGAAGAGTGTGTGGAAACTTCAGGTGCAAATGAGGAGATAGCCTTAAATAATGAAGAAAAAAACATGAAGGTCGGAAAAGGTTGGTCTTCGCTTGAAGGAGTCTCCCGTGTAAACACCTTATTGACCTTGCCAAGGTTTGTCCCAACCAAAGACGAGAAAAAGGCTGCTTGATAGACAGGCTAAAAATCCTCTTTGATTTTATTTTTTTGGCATTTATTTTTATATTTCCCCATTTATCAGGTATATCTCTCATTGCCTACAGGAAGGAAAAGAAAAAAGTTAAAAACATTTTTATTCCGGACCGGAGAGGTGGGCCCGGCTATATTAGAGCGTCTGGGATCTTCCTTGTTTTATCTTGTGTGGGTAGAATAGGAGTTTTTCAATCCAACTCTCCATCCTTTTGTTCTATTTCACATTTTGTGGTCTTCAAAATTGTGTAATTTCTATCCTTTTTATGTTGGACAATATCTGAGTTAATGCAAGTTTCTTTCAGTGCAACTTGTATGTACATTGATTAATGCCTTTCTACTCTAATTTCGATTGTATAGATTGGTTGATGATTTTTCTATGACCACCGAATGGCAAGTGCTTTTCAGCGTGTGGATCGGTAGTTATCTTGATCTACTCGATTGGTAAATGCTTTTCCGTGTGTGGGTCCTATTTAAGTTGGCTGTACTGTTGTTTTCTGGGGAAGTTTTCTCATGGAATCTTCACATGATTTATGGGGCTCGGGTCCCCACATTCTTGGTTTTAGTCAAGACTATTGGTTGTCTTTTCCTGCCACTTGAATATTTGTGTGGTTTCCTTTGTGTTTGCATAGAAAATCTTTGTTAAATTGACATCTTGGATTTGGCAAATTAGTGAGTAGCAATATTTGAAAAGACCACTACATCAAGTATATTTGGTAATGTAGACTTGACTGAATTAAAAAGAATCAAAATTTTGTTAGTTGGATCGTTCATGTCTATCCTTAGTGCTTTCCATTCTTAAGTTTTTGAAGAAGCGTTTAGATGACGGATGATGTATGTTCCACTTTATTCTTGTAAGAGGAATAAGCATATTCAAAAACTTGCTTATAAGTAAAGTCGAATAGACAAAGATGATAAAGAGTTCAACCGATGAAAGTGAAAATTTTACTTTTTAATGTTAGTAATTTGGTTTACTTGTACCTATTACGTACCTAGTATTGCAAATTTTAGAATTTTATAATTTTGACGTATTATATTTAACACATTTCTGGTGTCAATTGTAGAAACTTTGTGAGCATTGTAAAAAAAAAAAAAAAAATTGGGTCTCTTAACCCTTTTTATTTTGTACTATATCATGATGGTATTGGGACAAATATTTAGGGATAGACAAAGGATTATTCTTCTCTTTTTATGGTTGTCCATCGTATACCCTCGTAGGATAATTAAGAATTGTATCTTCTATTTTTCAGGATATTCAATTATACAGGATCTAATTTTTTACTGCCTAAATACTGATTATCTTTTATGCCTACTGTAATTAAAAAACGTTTAGTTTACTACGTTAATCATGTAAAATAAAAAATTTGCTTTAGTGTACACTAGGCTTTGTTTGTCTATCATTATACAACATTATTTTTTTTTGCAGTACTCATTTTCAATCACACCTTATTCATTAAAATAACATTACACATAAATTAAAAATTGTTCCTTATTTTTTAACCACACATTTCAATATCAATCACTATTTTATAATATATTCTTCACAAATAATGAAGCACAAACACCCCCTTAGTTTGACAGCCCTTTAATAGGGGATGTGGCTGTCAGCCATGGTGGTGTACACCTAGCATTTCTCGTAAAATAAATAGGGATTTGCACACATGGCACCCCCTATTGGATGGGTGCCTGGCCCACCCTGGGGGCGCCATGTGTGCATTATGGTGTCCATAATGTACCCATAGCAAATTCCTTATTTGAATAATTCTTGGTCTCTATAATATGCACCAAGAATTATTCAAATAAATATCATTGTCCATAATGTACACCAAGAATTATTCAAATAAAAAAAATTCTACTTGTACATAATGATGTTCATAATGTGATGTGACAATAATCCGATTGTTGATGTGCAAGTGTGAGATTTGAATTAAAGGTTGAATTCATTGCCACGTGTAATAATGAACACAATTATGTAGACAATTATGTACATGTAGTACTTTCCATTCAAATAAATATAGTGACAATGAAAATATCCTATTTCTATGGGACCACATCACAACCATCCATAGAAGATAGAGGATCACGGATTTCATATTCTCAATCGGGTTTTCATTTCACCATCATTGCATGAAAAAGATAACTATACCCTTTTCGATAACTTGATCAATATTGCTAATTTATTCAGAATTTCTCCAAATTTGTTCTAATTTCAAACCCTGCCTATTAAGGTAATTTGCTATGAGTATCAACTCATTACTTTATACTTAAGAGCCTGTTTGAGTCACATGATAATGAGAATGAGAAATAGAGCCGTTATGGATCCCACGTCAGAGATAGAAATTCAAAAATAGTGATTTGATGTGATGGATAACGGTCATATTTTTCATTTTAATGAGGCAAAAATGTGGCTCAAGCAGGGGCTAAATCATCTATCTGAAATGGAAGCAAATCTAGATTCAAAGCAAAGTTTTTAGATTTTTAATTTCATCTTTGAGTCATCGAGTTGCTCTTAGCTTCGAATTTGACTTCACAGAATTGAAGCAACACCGCCTATACCAACATGATGTGTAATTTGCCTTTAAATTAAGAAATCACGAGAAATTTGCATCATATATTGTGAACATTGACCATATTTTTAATAATACCGTGAATTTTTTACTGGAGGTTGCTGGTGAATGTTCCATCCATATTTTTTTTTTATCGAGTTAAAAATAGCATTTTTAACCATTGTTAAATACCAGGTAAATCCGATATATAAAAAAATTTACTGTATTTATGGTAATTTCAAGCTTTAATTATTTAATTTTCCATTATAAAAAATTCCCAGTATATTTAAAATATTCATTTTAATTTATCTCGTCTTTATTAAAACATCATATATTTGTAACCATGCACAGGAGACGACAAAGGCAATCTATTGTTTAAATAATTGTGCATAAATTTTTAATCAATATTTATTACTCTACAAAATTACAATCATTTTGCAGTAAAAATCATTACAAATAATTCCAAAAAATAAAAAAATAAAAAAATAAAAAAAAATGCTTTCTTTTTGAATTTCCTCTATAGAATTCAACAATCGTGTATTTGGATATCTGAACCTCAAACTAAAGATGCAAAATCCAAAGCAAAATGTTTTTGGATATCAATAAACCTCAACTATTCTTCCAAGCATGTTTTGAGCGTAATCCTACAGGACACGGGTGAGGTGAAGTTATGACATAGGATATATTGCAAAATCTTGACAACCCCTAGAACTGGTTCGTACATGATCCAGAGAGATCCTGCTTTGAACAGAGGAAGAAGAAAACTATCAAGCCCCCAATTTCAATTCGAAAACCAATATTTTAAACCCAATCTGAGCAATGACCCGGAAAATGTTAGAATCAAGAGTCGAAAGTTTAGCCCCTGTTTAACAACTATAAATTAGAAAAAACATAGTTTTGAATAGTGTGTTTTAGGAAGACGTTGTTAAAGTAGGAAAAATTTTTGGGTTTACGTACAAAATATTTTATTGTGTGAATATGTGGTTCAAATGAGTATATAGAAAAAGAGCTGTCATAATCATGGGTTCAGCAGGGAGCAAACTTGAAACCAAGTCGCCCCAAGGCTGGTTCCAATTGAACCGGCCAGTTCATCCGAGTTACTTAACGTCTGGATATAGGCTAAAACCCAGCAAGTTTCCAGATCAGTTGGTCCACTTGAACTGACTGGGCCAGTCCGGTTTTCAAATCAACGTCGAAATATGAGAAAACGATGAAGCATTTACCTGTAAATGAGATCAGCTTCCTCCCTTCTGCTTGAGAGTTATCTTGTCACCCAAGCTGAGAGCAATTCCTTGGGTCTTGCTCCTTATCCTAATATATCCATTCAGTTTTCCATCTTCCCGTTTCTCAATGCTAACATTTACCAAAGCATCTTCCCCAAATACACTCTTTGCATACAAGTTAGCAGCCAAGAACCCGCAGCCACCTTCCAGTGCCGACCTGAACATAACCAAACAACCAGGATGGGAGGCAAAACTATACACTTTACCAAACCACAGCCAAATAAAAGCAAACAAAAGGTATAAGCATTTGACCAGGGTTTAAGAAAAATATAAAGTGTCACCAGTCACATATCACAATTTAAGAGTCCAGAGGACAAAATATTTCCTTCACTTCAGTTTCAGAGAGTTAACCTTAACAGATATCTTAAAAAACAAGCACCTAACAGCCTGATGGTAAGAGGTTACTGTGGATGAGCTTCGATCAATTTGTAGAGCTAAATTCTTTAAATAAAGTTTACTGATTTCTCTAATTTTTTAAGGATCATGCTATTAACTTAATACACTTGGTGAGAAGATGACAATGAATTCATATTTACTTCATAAATAAAAGTGGCTACCTTTGTGGCTTAGGAGAAAGGCCAATTATGTCTCTTAAGATTCATAATTCACAAATTAATTTGTATGAAGTTTTCACCTTTACAGCATCCAAACTAATGTTTACCTAATTGTTAGGGCCGTAAAATTAAAATTTGTATAGGATAGGTCAGAGATCAAGCAAAGATATGCAACCAGAAAATCATCTGCACCATGTTGTTTGTAATATTAAAACATTAGACACTCCTCCCAGAAAGTGGTTGTACAGGATCATTTAGTGTCATGTGATAAATTTTTATCACACGTCTGTTTGAGTTCCTTCAACACCCCAGTTTTAACTCGTAGATTGAAAATTTTCACTTCTTGTGTGATCTTGGGCACTCAGAAGCTTGAACAATTTCTGGCCCTGTGACACTGCATTTTGTACCAACTCAAAACACATTTTGCTAGAAGAGTTACAATTAAGGACTGAATATCAGAGATAAATAAATCAAAAGAACTAGTTAGACTACGAATATAGCAGAAAACTTGAAAATATTAAGTCGATATTAGTTACACATTCTTTGAAACTCATTTCTCCCAAACTCATTTTCAATCACACATTCTCCAAATAAAATAGTTTTACATGTAAACCCATAATTTTCCCCTACTTAACAACACATTCTCCAAAAATCACTTTTCACAAAATTTATTCTCAAAAAATCTATATCAAACAGGCCCAAGTATCTAAACTAAAACTAAAGGGAAATGGTAGAAGCGCGGTTCCCACTAAGGATTCATGGTCAACAGTCATACAGCTGACAAAACAAGGATTTACAAAATAACCATTGGAGCCATGACAGTGAGAAACTAAAAGCCACAGATTTTAATATTGGAAAATAGTAGCTATGTTGACATACAATAATTTTTTATTCTTTAGTCTTTTTTTAGGGAGAAAAAAGAATGTT